ATATATATATATATATATATATATATATATATAATTCAATATATATATATATAATTCACTATATATATATATATATAATTCACTATATATTTATTTAATAAAATTTATAACATAAATATGTTATAAAATCACTACAAAATGGCTATTTTTGTAGTGATTTTATAACATATTTATGTTATAAATTTTTTAAATAAATAATTATATCTGCTCTGCTTTGTATTGAGCACTCTTTTAAGAATAGTATTTGTTGGTTTTTGGAATTCATTCCATATACACCAATCATATACTTGGATATATATATATATATATATATATATATATATATAATTCACTATATATATATATCTATATATATATAATTCACTTACGTACTAATACCCTTGGGAAAGGTATTAATCATCTACTTCTCCCTCCAGCTATGGGTAAATAATAGGACAGACTGGGTTTTATAGCCTTGGTCTAGGAGAAAGACAACTCTAAATTCAAAACCTGCCGTTTGGGGACCTTGTAGCATATAGTACACCAGGTCTCTGTATTCGGTCCTTCAAAAAGTGTGGTTGGTTCTGCACAAAACCTTCACCAATCTAATCATATGTGCTGTTGTCTGGCTATCAGTTCAGAGTAACTGAGCTGCTTGACCCTCATACGACGACAGAGTCCATCTCACACACACACACACAAACACACACATATATATACATATTTATTAAAGACATTTTTTATGTTTAACGTTGTTATTTTATAGATACAAGTATTTAAGCAAATGCTCTGTTTATGATAAACAGTATTAAATAACATTTACCGGCCTGAATGTCCGAGAAATTTTCATAGAAAATATTCGTTCTTTGACAGGATTCGAACCTGCATCCTATACGGAACCGTCATATACGCTGACGTGCCTTGACCGCTCGGCCACAAAGAACCTTACAGCAGACAAGGTCGAATTTACTGTTCTTCCATGAATCTCGTACATTCATAACTGCTCTGGCGTATCGAATGTAAACAAATGACGTCATATGTTAAGAAATGGACAAGGTCCGACAATTTATTTATTAAAGACATTTTTTTATGTTTAACGTTGTTATTTTATAGATACAAGTATTTAAGCAAATGCTCTGTTTATGATAAACAGTATTAAATAACATTTTCTCGGACATTCAGGCCGGTAAATGTTATTTAATACTGTTTATCATAAACAGAGCATTTGCTTAAATACTTGTATCTATAAAATAACAACGTTAAACATAAAAAAAATGTCTTTAATAAATAAATTGTCTATTTGTCCATTTCTTTATATATATATATATATATATATATATATATATATATATATATATATATATATATATATTAGGGCAGGTTAATTTTTCTCTTGTAAAATATCAAAAAGAATAATGTACCGAAAGTTGTGTATTGACCTATTAAGTATTGATATAAAAAATCAGATCTGACACTTCCATGGTTTTTTGAGCATTTGCCATCAAATATCGTAGATAAAAATGCACTGAAAAATCCACGATTTTGCAAGATTTGGACTAAATATTGATAAAAAAAAAACAATTCCACTATTTAAATCAGGGAATGTTATTTTGTTTTATCAAAATGAAATAAAATATAGAAATTATAAGTAAATTTAAAATTTAAAATCTGCCCCCCTCCCTAATGACTGACGACTTTGAAATGCTGTTTTTACCTCAGGAATTAACTAGTATTAGTTAAATACATTAAAAAATTGATTTTTTTTTCTGATTTGAATGAAAATACAACAAACAAATATGAAAGAAATAAAGAATAGTTTAATGGGGCTTAATATATAGAGTCAAATAGCTCCATATAAGAACCCTCAGATGAAATTGATGGTCTCAATTTCTGACACAAAGCTTTTGCCGTTATGTGCTGGTGCCTTGCTTCAAAGCCATACACAGATTGGGAAGCTTCTGTTGTTAATTGGACTGCCCGTTCCACGCCTTGAGAATGAAATTCAAGCTTCGTACCATTTAATAATTATTCCAAAAGTTCACTTTCAGAAAATTCTTCTGTGAGTGGTGGTTCACAAATGACAGATCTTTTAACTGTGTCCAGTGCATAACTTTAAAATTGATAGTTATGATTCTTTTTAATCTTTTATTGGTTTGCTCCCCACTCTGAAAAATATGAAAATTGAGTTATTTTTAAAAAATAAGCACTCTGTACTGCTATAATATTTATGTTGAAATTAGATAAAACCCTTAAAATGATTCCATAAATCGGTATAACTAATTTAGTCAATTTTATATGAATAAATATTTACTAACCTAATGACCAAAATTCGTTTTATAGATTCTTCCCTCAATTCCAGTTCATCAGATTTGACCATTGAATATAAGATATTTTCAGGCAGTAAGGCGAAAACATTGTATTGTATATTTTTCAATGTGGTCTGTTGGATTTCATATGGTTGCTTCCTAATCCTTTGGATCATATTGAAAATATACATTTGCTGATTGTGGAATTTGTTATTTCTTTTAGTTTCGAACCGGCAAATGGCATACACATTCACAATAAAATTTATTAAACTGTGGAGTTTGGTTGAAATATTTCGCGGGTATGCACCATGAGTCCATAAACACATCAGACTGATGCCTAAAGCTAACCACCTTGACTGGTTTAATGGACCAATTTTCCATGATGCAAATCTAGAGTCCACCTTACTTCTACAAATACCCACTGTATATTCATAAAGGAGTCTTTGGTCACAACTAAGGGTATCTGCATTTTCAATTTTAAAAATAGAATGCAGAGGACTGCCAACAGCGGAAAATTATATTTGTGGTAAATTATGGTAATCATTTGCATGTAATATTCCAAGTAGACCATTGAATGTGGCAGGGTTTTTTTGTGGTACCATCTACATGTTTAAAATGAGCACTAAACGGAAGTTTATTTTGGTGCAAGGAGCAACCAATAGTTTGAAGATTTCTGTTAAGTTTTCTTTCTAGATTTGCAGCAAATCCACCTTCACAACCTGAACTGGCATTGGTGTTTGTCAACAAGGATAGCCTTGATAGTGCTCACACTGTTGAATTCATGCAAAACATCAGCCACTTGCTCGGCAAGAACCACAACAATTGCACCAATATTAGGAAGAACCTTATGTGTCAGATATTCACTTTCATATGTCATCTTTGTGACAGTCAAGTGGCGTTCTGGTCTCTTGGCTGTTTTCTTTTTCAGTCTTCTCTCCATATTCCTCCATTATTTCCTTGTACATTAGTGTGTCTTTGTCAGTTCTCCCATCAACTCCAATACAAAGATTTGCCACCATTTCATCATGCTGTTGATGGGCATTTGTCTCTTTAGCCTTTGCTCTATCAATTTTACATTTATCTATATAAATATCTTTTTATATTAATATTGTGTAGAAGAAGGCCCATAGCCCTGAAATCCAAGAGCAATGCATTGGCAAGGCTGGCTCTAAGATTGGAAGATACATCACCCTTTATCAACTCAACAAAATACCTGTGGATTTTGATAGAGCTATCAAAATTCCACGGTATGCTAGGCCCTTTGGGATGCATTTTCCTGCCATTTTTTATTAAAATATCTGACAAAGAAAAAATATATGTATCATCAGAAATTACACAAAAATATTTTTCAAAATAAATTGGAAAATAAAGTTTGAAATGCATTATTAAATTATAAAAGTAATGTTTATTTACATAAATTTAGAGTTACTTCCGGGATTAGCTTGTAAACAGGCTTTTTAATAAAACACTAATTTTGAAAATATAAACAAATTACAATAATTATAAATGATGTATTTTTATAAATAGTTAAGTATATTTTGATGAGAAATAAAATAGATATTTGTGTTAGTTAAAAGCGTAAACAGTAAAAAAAAATAAACCTAACTTGCAAGAGGAGGTAATTACTACCGGAAAATACCGACAAAATATCCAGTAAAAAATGACTCCGTTCATAAGTAATTATTTGTATTTTAAACTAAATATTTTAATGTGTTTTATTTTTTTATTTTGAGTAATTTCATTTAATTTATTAAGAGACTAGATAGTAAACTCAAAAATATCCATTTTCGTTATTTTCTTCATTTCTTTTCGTTAAAACCTCGCTTTTAATTTAACCTACACAAGATTCCGGTGACACCGATACGATGATAAAAATCGCATTTTATTCTGTCTTTAAGTTCGATTGCTCAAATAAATACGAAGTTTTGAGGAAAAATATTTTTTGTGGTAATTTTTGACATTATTTTGAAACTTTCCTCGAGTTATTCTTTTTACACTTCCAAAATCGACCTACCCTAATATATATATATATATATATATATATATATATATATATATATATATATATATATATACAGTGTAACCCGGATATAAGAAACCCGGATATAAGAGAAACCCAGATATAAGAGAGATTTTCTCTGGTCCCAAATTAGAGCCTGTGTTAATGTATATAAAATAGACCAAATCCGGATATTAGAGATACCCGGATATAAGAGAAACCCGGATATAAGAGAGATTTTCTCTGGTTCCAAATTAGAGCCTGTGTTAATGTATATAAAATAGACCAAATCCGGATATTAGAGAAACCCGGATATAAGAGAAACCCGGATATAAGAGAGATTTTCTCTGGTTCCAAATTAGAGCCTGTGTTAATGTATATAAAATAGACTAAATCCGGATATTAGAGAAACCCGGATATAAGAGAAACCTGGATATAAGAGAGATTTTATCTGGTCCCAAATTAGAGCCTGTGTAAATGTATACATATAGACCAAACCGAATATAAGAGACACCCGGATATAAGAGACTTCTTCTCCGGTCCCGACAACTCTCTTATATCCGGGTTACACTATATATATATATATATATATATATATATATATATATGTGTGTATATATATATCTGGGGCACCTTCAGTTTACCGCGGAGTTCTTGACAAGATCCAGAGACGGATATGTAATATAATTGGCCCTGATCTGGCATCTCGTCTACAGTCACTCTCTCACAGACGCGCCGTCGCCTCTCTCTGTCTTTTCTACAAATACTTTCATGGTAATTGCTCCGATGAGCTGCTTTCACTGGTTCCTAGACTTCATGAATTCAAGCGCCCTACGAGGCTGACATCCCGCTCCCACCCTTACACTGTAGAAATTTTTAAATGTAGCCGTCTCTTCTACTCCAATAGCTTCATACCCCGCACCTCTCGCCTGTGGAACACCCTTCCCAATTACTGTTTCCCTGAGAGCTATAATCTCCAACTATTCAAATCTAATGTCAATCGACATCTCCAGTTGCCTTGATCTATCTACTATCCCTCTCCTCATCCTTTCTTCTATCACTCCTATCTGCTCTTGCTGCAACCCCCTGCATCCTAGTGGCTTCACGCCTTGCTCGGGACGTAATGCTTAAAATATATATATATATATATACACACACACACATATATATATATATATATATATATATATATATAGCAAGTGTTTTATGTGAAGCTTTTTGTGTTTTATTTGAACCTTTTATATGTTTATGCTATCGTATGTTCATTCACTTTGCAAATCAAGCCAATATTTCATGTTCACGCAAAACAATTTCAGTGCCGACTGAATGTCACAGAAATGTTTTTTTTTCCTATTTCAAGGAGGAGGAATATCGAACTGACAGACTCTCCGGGTTCTGACCGTATTTAGGAACGATAGAGACTGTTTCTCCCGATCAAGGCGTGTGACATCCACGCACCACCTATGCGCCGTGTTTCCGGACCTTGACCAGGAAGAGAGGGGTTCTATAGGGCTGAGAGAGAGCCTGTGTTTTACGTTGTTAAGGTGGCGGCACCATAGGGACAGACGCTGACTAGGTGCTTTGTTGTTCCCAAAGACATTAGCACGCAAATGCAATGAATTCGACTGGAATTCGAACGCAGAAAGAACTTTATTGATCCAGTGATGTGTGGGTGGCAGCTGGCTGTTGTGTTGCTGTAGTGTTAAGGGGTGTCTCCGGCATCTCCCTTGTCTATCGGCAATTTTTCAGGCCCCAGCGCTGCATTATAGACGGAATATCCTTGTATTAGAAGTGTCTTTTTTTTTGTAACTACAATAGTCCACCAAAGATCGAGAGAAATGTTGATCAATTAAATATGAGTGTAAGACTTGATTCCAATTTTGTCCGATGACCAAAGTCTGTCTCTTATTAAGTGAGAAGACCCTGGCGATGGCAAAAAAAGCGCTGCAAATTTTAACAGAGCACTATTTATCAAAAGCAAAACCAAAAATAATTTCTTCGTGCACATTGTCAGGGATCACTCAAGATGATACATTTGGTGACGTATGGTTGCTGGATGTAGTGTCAGCAGACTGGCAAATATGTACAAGGAAATTATTAACTGAGTAATTCCGAAATGGATAAGTGCATTCGTTTTACGTAACAACCGAAATAATTACCTTGTGGACTCTTCCACAACAGCCAGTTAACCCCTGCTAGGAAATGCACTATTCCTGTTGTAACTTTCACCACCACCTTCTTACAAAATATATAACAAGCATTCATTGGTTAATCACCTTCATTCTAGCTGATTGGTCAGTTTCGACCAATGAAATCACCCACAAGCGACAGATCTATTTTGGCACCAACTCAGTCGGAGCCTGTCACGTGGCACAAAAAATTATAAAAACCAAACACGAGTGTTTTTCTCTCTCTGTCCCTCTTGCGTCTCATTCCTTGCTGCCAAGATGTAATCTTCAAGAACTCCCGTCTTGACCATGTAGTCAGACGTTAAAGACCATTACCAACATTCACGCAAGTACGAACTCTGAAATCTCTTCTGAACTTTTACCAACTTGTACAATACACAATTCCAAACATGCAACAACTCATTCTTCTACAGTTTAATAATCAATTTATTCTTTATGAGCTTAGGTACAAATATTGCCTAGTCTAAGAGACACAACTCTGTTTAACCTTTTCAGCTCACATGCATGTACGTCAAATACTTTATAAATTCAATTGTTATGTTTTGAAATCATTACATTCTGTCTTGTATTTTATACTATGTGCTATTTACGTCAAATTTAAATTGCATTGCGTCCACGCATCGTCCTTAATCCCGCGTTTCCTAGCCAAAGTAGTACACACACTTACATAATGGTGACAACCTGCTACAATATTGGTAACCCCGTCGCTACAACCTTACTCTTCTTGCTATCCTTTACCTTTATAAGAGCCAGATAAGGCCAAAAATGGAGTACCATGATATATTTGGGCAGGAGTTTCCCAGACCCCACTTTTCAATCTTGATAGAGTTCAAAAGCATCTCTGAGTCCTTTTTGGAAAAGAATTATTTCCCATCCTCTAACCTCTCTCTCTCTCTCTCTCTCACACACACACACACACACACACACACACACACACACACACACACACACACACACACACACACAGGCGGGATGTGGCGAGTCTCTCACTGCTCTATCACTACTCCATTTCCTGGTTCCACCAGGTTTGACCTTCACGGCTAGATCCCACCATGCCACTTACATAGTATCAAACCACCCACATTACCCCCGTATTCCATCAGCGAGAAGGATGTTCTAGGGAACAGACCCCCAGGAGGGCGTTTATCCTATCACTGTAATCTTAATTCAAGTCTAGTGTCATCCGTTATTTCCCCTCTTATCCATATAAACTACCCCTTAAGGGAACCCTCTAGCTCGAGTGGCACCCAGACCTTATACAAGATGAACTTTACTATAAGAAATATGTAAATTGAATCCTTTAGTTTATCTTTCCTTTTTTTCTTCTTTCTCCTTAATTCTTGGCTTATATATTTATAGTAGCAAAGCATCCATATTCTATCAGTAGTTTCTTCCCGCGATCCACTGCTATGTGGAACAGACTCCCAAGAGGATGCTTTCCCGATCACTATAATCTTAACCTGTTCAAGTTGACCGTTATCTTCTCTACCTATCCATATAAACTACCTCTTAAAGTAACCGTCTACGTTGAACTGCACTAGGGCCTCGTACACGGTGAACATTATTCTAAAAAAATATATATCCAGTAGCAATGTTTCTGATCGGGAGATTAGAGGTTTTGAGGAGCGTTGAACAACTTCTTAATTGCTGTTGTTCGCAGATCCATCTTCACCCGGGGTGGTAGCACCTGTTACGGGTCCCAACTATGGGCAAATAGTGAAACGGCAAATAAATATCAAGAGTACATTTTTTTTTTTTAAAGTAAATTGACCAACAATACATTTCTTAATAGTAAAATGACAATCAGTACACCGCTAAAAACAAAACTTACAATATTCGGACTATTGTCCTCATCTTTGTCGCCATATTTATTACAACGTTTCGGTCGTTGTACGCTCCGACCTTCTTCAGGTAGGTGGAATATCCAACTGAACCCTTTATTTCGCTCAGTGGATAAAGGCGTTGGTTAGATCCAGTGCCAAGACCCAAAGAGTGTAAATTCAATACCCGGTTAAGGCAGTAGAGAACTTTCAGAGGGAAAATTAATAGGAGGCAAATATATTAGATAAAATAGGAAAGACCCGTTAGATTGATGAACCGAAGTTCTTTAGTATTTTTTGATTTTATTTTTAAAAAACAGTGCTCGATACACAAGTAGAGCGTATATTATAATTATTTTTCTTTTAAATATGATTGCATCGCTACACAGGAATTACCATGTTTCAAAAAGAGATTTTTAAAATTTCCAATTCAATTATATATATATATATATATATATATATATATGGGGGTGTTCTTTTACGTCGTTTATCGTTGTTCTAAGAGCCTAACTTGAAGAATGTGCAAGAACTGGTGCACAGCGTGCCACAAATTCCTCAAACGACTCTCCTTAGGTTTTTGAATTTAGAGTTGTCCTTCTCCTAGACTGGTTTCCAAACACGGATGTATGACCTTGTCTGTCCTGCTATTTACCCATAACTTGGGATGAAAAGAGATGGATTCATTGAAACGCTATGATATAAGTGAACATTTCATTTCATTTATTACTCTCTCTGTCATCTCTCTCTCTCTTTCTGTCTATCTGTCTGTCTGTTTCTCCCTCTCTCCCTCTCTCTCTCTCTACACACACACACACACACACACATATATATATATATATATATATATATATATATATATATATATATATGCACAGCGTGCCAAATTATTATCGAGATTACTTTTTTTCTAATATTTCAAAAACCGTCCAATCAATTCACACAAAATTTTCACACAACGTTGGCAATACTGACCTACGCAATCACTAAATTTTTTGTACTGATCTGCAACATTAATAAACATTTTTTTCGCTCAATTCTGGGAATTTTACGAAACCTTTCTAATAATTTGGCACTCTCAAATCACCGTGCTGATAACAAATACGGCGCCAGTTTGTTTACATTGCGCAGATCAGTACGAAAATTTCAGTGATTGCACAGGTCTTTGTTGCCAACCTTGTGTGAAAACTTTGTGTGAATTGATTGGAGGGTTTTTGAAATATTAGAAAATAATAAATTGGCACGCTGTATATATATATATATTTATCACATCACAAGAAATATTTAAATAAAATTCTCACTTAAAAATTTTGAAAAACTTAGCGTTGCGTCTTTGCACGTTCCGATATCTTACAACCGTCAATAATAGCAGATATTCAAAAAACATCCTTCGGTCGACATACAGATATATCGTCTCAAGTTTTTGATTTTATAAGGAAAAAAAAACACATGCCTGATGATGGATGGAAGACTGTCCGTAAGTACTAGCATTTTAACATCAAATAAACTGAAAAACTACAGACAACAAGTTTTTCTTCAAGGATCAAAACTCGCACTATGGATGAACAGGATTTTAATGCATATATGTTTTCTAGCGATGGATGTCGCCAATAATCGCATTGATACTTCTGATTAATTCTATGTGTGATTATTCTTTGTATATATATATATATATATATATATATATATATGTGTGTGTGTGTGTGTGTG